TTAACCAACATCAAAAAAGAAGAGCTTCAAATAAAATTATATAATATTTAAACATAGTTATGTATTGAATTACTCTGATATTATATCTGTATAATATTTATTATATATTTATATCTGATCTGTTTGGATAGCCGAACAACTTTGATAGGCTAACAAACATGATCTGAACTAATTTTGTTTAACCTGGGAAGTTTAATAAACATTATTTTTACAACCTCCCCCGAGCTCACACACATTAAGGGAAATTAATATGAATATAGGAATAGGAATTAAAAAAGAAAGAGGTAACACTGCTCAAGGTTTTTCATTCTGCCGTGTGGCTGCTTTAGATTAAGTTATTTTTTTAGCAGCAATATTCAAAATTTTTTTTTAAATGTACTCAGAATATGCACTAAAATTTTATTTTATTTAATACTATCTCAGACTTTCAGTTCGGTACTTTACGACCGACGTTGAATAAAGGACAGTCACCGTGCATTAGAAGGATTTCAAAATAATTTGCCAATCTCAACAACACGATGAAAGCTTCAAGAATGTCTTGAGCACTAAAGATTGTCATTTCCTACTTTCATTTAATAATAATAGTAATATATTTTTTATACAGATAAAAATATACTTGTGTGAGTTAATAGAGTAATTTTAAACTTCTTAAAATTTATTTCTTGGGCTAGTGTTGGCGTATCGTGCTAATATGATACGAGTAATAATAATAATCTCAGGACTCAAGTTAAGCTAGCTAAAGTTTGTGTTATAGAAATAGAAATAATCTTTATTCAATTAAAGTCAATACATGCACTTTTGAATAGTCATGTTTTTGATTCTACCACTCATTCGGAACGCAGATTCATCACCAGAAGAATGAGCAAGAAACTTGTATGTTGCTCTTTTCAATAGATGTTTTATAGGTACTAGATAAGGTACATATACATACAAATTCATAGATATATTATTTTTTCGTAAGTACATATGTACATATTATACATAGAAACATCCAAACCGATACAAACAATCACACTCATGAATACAAATGTTTGTGCCGTGCAAGGAATCGAAGCCGCGACCATCGGACGAAAGGCGGTGTAATAAACTGCTGGACCACCGAGGCCGTCAAGTAATATTATAATAAAGAAGTAATATTATACGTTATTCTACAAAATAAATGAATACTGAAAATATGCTGTTTCACCTCATTCTATATACGCTTGACTGCATTTACTTTATGATTCTAATACAACTAGATCCATGTATAGAGTTAGTTCATTATTTTTTATACGTAGAAATTGACAGACGCTCGTTCTCTAAATGTTCCACTCCGTTGGTTCTGTTTAGCGAAATAAATAGTAACTAAACGTGATCTGTAAATTCGAAGCGAAAGTGATGGAAATCATTATTGCGAGAATAATATTTGTACAACAATATCTAAACACTTATTATATCCATATCTTTACATAGTATAAAACAAATTCGTCGCTTTTGTCTGTTCGCCTACATCTTTTAAAGTGCACAATGGACTTTAATGAAGTTTGCAGCAAAGATAGAGTGATTCAAAATGAAGTTTTATATGTATAATACATGAATATAGCAATATAGAACAAGTAGAAAAAGCCAAAAATTTGCGATGCATCCGCGGGCTGTGACGCAAGAATGTCTTTTTACAAACCTTTTTACAAATAAAAATTGTATCCAGAATACTCATATTTGTAGGTTACTTATAATGTAATGTAAAAAAGCCAGATTTAATTTTCTGTGGGTATTTGTTTCTTAATTTGTTGACTTTCTTTACAATATACGAGTGTATATTGTAAAGAAAGTGTATTTTGTGATTTTAAATATCACATTTGGCATTACAGTCGTGAACGTATTTATTTATTTATGTGCATGATGAATAAGGAGAGTCATCCATTAGTCGTTCCATTCATATAATATCCAATACGATCTGCTTGCGGAAAACGTGTTTGTTGTGTGTATATATGTTATGTGCATACAGTATTTGAACTGCACTGCTCACCGCAATTTCTATAGAAGTGATATCATAATATTGTACATATCTTGATTGCAATAGAATTAATAATAGTATTTTGTACTACTATAGTGGCAAACAAGCATACGGCCTAGCTGATGGTAAATGCTTATCGTAGCTTATGGACACCTGAAACACCATGTGTTACATGCACGTTGCTGACCCTTAAGAAACCTTAATATACCCTTCCTGAAAACCTCTATGCTGTGGTCTCCAGAGAAAACCTCGGGAGGTAGTTCTTTCACACAATCTAAGTGTGGAAGGAAGCTCCTCTGAAACCGCACTGTCCGAGACCACTCAGGTTCATTCCTCCGAACACAGTTCTAGTATCCTCCGTTGTATTATCGGTAGAACACTCGCTTGTTCATATCAAGTTTAACTATCTACTACCTACCAATAAGCAAATATACTGACACTAGTCGAACCTGCAATATTCGGAAAATTCGGTGACAAAGTAATTCAAAGAAGTCTTCAAGAAATATAATGATTTCATATCAATATTACTATTTAATATATCAATTACAGTTAAATGTAGTTCTAAGGAAAGCCTATGAATGCATTGGGTCTTTCTTGTTGAATTCTTTCAATTAGCACCTACACCAATTGTTTGTGTAAACATTAAATGCAAGTTGTATTATTGTTCGAAGGAAAACCCAGCTTCATGTGAGTGTCATATCGTTTGTCGAAGCTGTTTCCGGTATTAATCGTTTGTTCATTGAAGTGCTTACATTGTACAGAACATGTTTTCTGAACTCTAACAGATATTCATTGTAAGCAATATAACATATTGTGTCTTGCCTGATGTTTATATAAATAAAGTTCGAGCCTAAACTACTATACGTTATTACAGACTTTTTCACCACTTACAACCACCTTAAATCAATTCCTAGAAAGATAAAACGTCTTAAGAAAGATTATGTACTATTTAAAAAACTGTGACACATATTTACAAACCTTCCAGTGTTGTGAATTCTCTTGAAAGGCCATAAACTCTGACTGGTTTTCCTTTTAAGTTATAAACACAAATAATTAAGAAAACCTGGACATTTTACACACAATAAAATCCGAACCTAAATAAAGTTACGCAATGTGTAACAGAGATCTAATTTTTTTGTACGTACATACTAATTGGTATTATGCTGGAATCGATCCTGTACCAAGTGGCAATATGTTACCGCTAGTCCGTCAAGGTTGTCATCTGGTCAATTTGCGATTGAAAATTGTAGTCCATTGAACCGAGTTGGTAGGCAGCAAGTATCAAGCGACTTGCATATTGTACAAATACCTTTATACAACTATACCTTTGTTAGAATACTCTCAGGCTATTTTTGTACAGCTACTTAGTCCTTTACAATGTAACTATTAAGTAATTAAATACGCATACTGATTAGATTAATGGAGGTTTTAAACATGAAATAATAAGCGTCATCGTCGACACGAGAGCGACATGGTGTATTGTTCGAATATATAATGCACAAGACATAAATTTTCTAACTCTTGAGTCTGTATAATGAGAGTATTTTATTGTAGGTTCTCTTCAGTTAGCGTTTGATTTGACGGTCTCGGCAAAGGTTATGAAACTCCGAAGACATTTGCCACTACCACAATGATTCTCTGATGCCTCTGTTTTTTTAATGCCATACAGAAAGCGAGGTAATATTTCTTATTGAGGAGTAATACTCAATAAGGAATATTTGGTTAGTATGAATCTCTTTTACCAAGAAACAAAGTACGAAATCGTAGTAATACGAGCTATCACATGGTCATTTAGTATGAATAGCTTATTCAGTCCGTTTATATGAAGGTTTTTGGTTTTATTTGCTCTATTCTAATGTTGTTCATTTTCACTAATTTTTCAACTTGGTGTGATTTCTTCTTCTTTTATAAAGACAAAGATAAAAGGTGTAAAATATGCAACAAGCACGTAAGTATGCTAACTGTTTAAAGTTGCAACAAGGAAATATTTTTACACTACGGCTATAATTACTATATTAAATAGTACGTGACACATCTTCACCGTCATCGTGAAGTCAAGAGTCATTGTCGGCCTACTTATATTTTTTTGCAATTTTCCTATCTCCTCATATAGATATTTTCCGATTAAAAACCCACTCGATTTTCCTGTATGAGAAAATTTTATTTATTCATATTTTTTAATTAGTAATAGACTGTAAAAGACGTCATTTCAGCCACCAACCAGCTTGTTTTGTAAACTGTTTTTTGGTTTAAGAGTGCCGGTTAGCAAGTAAAATTACTGTATAAGAGGTTTGACATTTCAGGTTGCCACTTCAGAGAACTAAGTCATCTGATATGGCAGCGCTCGAGTGATGTCGTGGCTTCACATGAATTATTATAGTGTTGTTATATATAGGTTACGTTTACAGCTTGCCATCATCATATTTATCATCACTCTTTTTGCTATTACGAAGACCTAAAAGAAAAGAAATATTTTATTCGTTTTCTATTTCCGTCAGTCATGAGTTACAATTACATTGCCAATTCAGTTATAAAATCTCAGGTTTCAATTATATTAGCGTATCTCAACCTTTTCAAACTTGCGACATACTATATAACCAATATTCTAAAATAATTATTTATCATATTTGAATTTATTAATTATGCTAATAATATATAGTAACAAAATATATACTGCCTTCCTTTTACTAGTCACTATTACTATTATTTCTAATCTGATTTAAAATTATAAATATCATTATCATCAGTATAAACATCATCAGGATTAGTATAAAGGTATACCTAACTAAAGACCTACGGGTTCTGAAGCCAAATTCGATTCTACATGTAGATTTTACCATTTAACCATGAAATATATAATTATCTACTAATTGTACGTTATATAACTTATAAACAATATTGCAACAATCAGTATTTTTGCAAAAAGCACTTTCTTGTTCTGCACATAGAGCCCTTTTCGACATACCAACATCCCTGTAACGTAATGTTCATAATTCTTTGACAGGATATTCGAGAAAGTTCGGCAATACTTCGGCGCGCAGAGCGAGTCGATCCCGATGTCGTTCGTGCTGGGTTTCTATGTAAGCCTCGTGGTGAAGAGATGGTGGGAGCAGTACAAACTGCTTCCATGGCCTGACACCCTCGCACTCTTCATCTCCGCCGCGATACCTGGAGCGGTCAGTAAAGTAAAGACAAGTTCAATTTTTTTTATATTATTATTAATTTTAGGCTAAATCATTCAAACAATTATATCTAGTCCTATACTAAGTAGAGCTTGTACTATTGGGACTAGTCTACTGATACTAAAATATTAAAAATTCCTAAATACATTCTTTCTTAATACATACTTAATAATTCAGCGTGTAGTACACATATGTGTATCATCACATTAGTAATTCAATAGATAAATAGGTACACCAAACTCATGTTTTTGATAAACGATTCACTGTTTATTTTAATTCTGAAGTAAGTCAAAGAAAACTATCTTATGTATAGGCTAAGATCGAAATGAACTCGACTATTTAGAATATAATACAGATTGTGTTATACTTAAAAGTATATAATCTGTAGAAATATAATTGACATGTTTTACAAAGGATATCTATTATTGGTCGTAATTACGACGTATTATTTGTGTGTATACTTATATTAAAATTTCTCTATGGTAGGTACAATAATTGCGATAAGTTTTAGCAATTTTGTCCTTATCATTTTTATTAACATACGAGTATATTCCATACGGAGAAATAAGAAATTCAAACATAAATCAATATGAAATGATAATATTAATTTTTCCTTTGTTTTCCTATATACATATGTGGTAATATAACAAGTTTCTTTCCATTCCGGATATCGTTACTTAGACAGAATTATTTATATATTAATAAATTAATTCAGCAGTTCCACTGAAACGCGAAACACGTGGCTCAAAACGTGTTTGCATTACATTTGAAATCCATAAGATCGCGTAATATGCATTTACGTCTTATAAACCTTAGGTGTTTTCTAAAAGTATGCATAGCGAATTGACACTATACACTTATTGTACCACCGTGGCATTGATCGAATAGAGAAGTCTGTTCTATGGTGGTATTGGACAAAGGAACAAACTGTATAAATCTTTAAGCAAATGGTAATATAATTCATGAATCTATCCAAGGCTGATTCAGCCATTAGGCTGAGAGCAGTCGCTCTCAGCCTAATGGCTGAATCAGCTATATTGCCTAGGCAGTCGCCTAGGCAATATAGCCCTGTGCGGTTACAAAGGAAATTGAAAATGTTCAATAGTAAAAAATTAATTTGAACATCAATGATGATAGGTATGGTATATTTTTCGTTTTAACGCATGCTGTCAGTAGATGAAATATATCACTACAATAGAATAGAACCATCTCGTTTCGAATAGTACTACATAGTAATATGACGCGTTACTTAGTATCTTTCAGGATATAGATTTTTTTTACTTTTACTTGTCCATACTTAAAAGAACTGTTATCAATGGGAACCGAGTATGCCATTGCTTAGAGTCCCCAAAATGGTTAATCCTGGATTTACATCACTTAATTATACAGTTACTTATACAGAACACAATAAAATGTGTTACTTAAATTAATAATTTATTTACATTTGAGAATGTTACGTAATTTCGTTTCTCGCTTGCATTATTAATATCTGGTGAAAATAAATTGTATTGCATCATTTTATAGCTCTTAGGCATTGCTTGGGATTATTTTATAATTTATAGATGCTTGCAATTAACTTCGAAAAATACGACTGTATGTCATCTTTAATTTTTGATCTACTTTGACTGGTTTACTATATTTCCTATTAAGCTGTGGCCTGAAAGCTACTCTTGTTATGGTAAATAGGAGTCGACAATTCAGGAGTTTCGACCCAGAAATTCTTGCAGACATTCTATCTGTATTATTATAATGATATATGAATTGAGAAATAAAGATGTCTATTGTAATATACTACTTTATAAGTTGGTTATTAAAATAATATGTATGGATATTTGAAATAAATGAATAAATAAAATTATAGTACAAATTCCTTTTGAATCTTCTACTATGGGTGTCATGGGAAACTGCAAAGATTGAATAAGTGTTCCTCGTTTTGAATCCATCCTATCATTCACCAAAGACATTACTTATGTCCTTGCTCTATGTGGATATTTATCTAGTCTACCTACGTAGATCTGGCTTTTAAATTTGTTACAAATGAAACCGGTATTGTTTTTTGTCAAAATATGTAGCTAACTACTCATGGATGAATCATGCAACTTTGTCTATGTCAGTTTTCCCTTTTTTGCATTATTTTTCATTGCGACTCTGCTCCTACTGGTCATAACATAATGTTATATAGATTATAACCTTCCTCGATAAATGGGCCATCGCATCATGAGCAAGGATTTTTGAAAATGGGTATGTTATACTTTACATTATCAGTATAGTATTTATAAATACATAAGTATTTTGATTTTAGTAAAATCTGTAAAAGGTACATTTATTATTTAAACAGTATTCATGTTTGTTTACCTCGCATCACATATTTCACAGTTGCGAAATAAATATACGTTTTATTTGACATTACAATCACACATCGCAATGGACTGTTGCCTCAGTTAATGCTTCAAGACCAATTGCTATTACAAAAGAAATTATAATATTATACATATTTATTCATATCGCGGTACATCCCTTCAACATCTACTTATAAAACATTATTTTGAAGCGGAGTACTGGACTTTATTACGAGTAAGTTTTTAAAAACTTTTTTAACATTCAATGCTTATTGCAGAACAGGTTATAGTTCAATTTATTGTCAATTAACCAATAATTTTCTAATGAATTAAAATTCTTATATCACTCGATACCATAAGTCTCTCTAAGGGGGACAGAAACATTAATTTCAAGTTGACTTGAAATAAAATAAATTCTTGCTTGTATTATACATTATACACGAGCTGCTTGAGCAATAGTAGACTATTGTTCCATTCATCTGTTATGGGTACAACTACATAGTAGGGTTATTATAGAGCTCTTCTATTGCTATCCTAGCCTTTTATCCTTGAGGCAGAATGTTAACCATTAATTATATTATACTAATATGCATTGTAAAGAGAGTTTGAGAATAGTTATAAAGAAAGTAAACGTCGAAACCACTGCACTAATTTCAGAAGTTCTTTCACTAATTAAAACATAGGTTATTTCAGAATAATATGATATAGTCTTTATTATTCTGAAATTATCTATCTTTTATTCTTCTTATCTTCTAATCCTTTTATGTTTATTAGATAAATATATAGTAATATCACAAACTAGGAACCCGGGATATGCCAAGGCTAGTCACTTAGTCATATATATAATTGAAATACAATTGTGTAATGTCTAATAGGTATATATAGCACTATTCAAATTTATAGTTACATGTCAATGTAGGCATAAAATTATTCATGTTGCCGTGACAGAGTCACAAACCATCTAATTAAAGTAAACAAAAAGTGATGAATAAGCGTTCTATCAGAACAAAATCCTTATACCTAGCTTAGCTCCAAGTCTGTGTAATAGTATTCAATTGTGCGCAAGATATAACATGAGTCATTCATTTCCTCATGTAATTTGTTACGCTGTAAATATAGTTGACTTGCACGTAACGTAAGCATTGATAGGTGCCGATATGGTACTTATTGAATTTAAATTACATGTACCTATTTCTTATCTACAAAACTCATAAACAAAACCATGTAAGAAATTCACAAGTACACGGTAAACTGAAATGAACTGCCTGATTGTTTTTGATTATCGAATAGAGTATTTTAGACATGATTATTATAAAAGATGATGATATATATAATTATATGTTTTGTTTAACGGACTTTAAAAAGAAATTGCAAGGTAGCATAATATATAATTCTTAGTCTATCTAGTTCTAGTTCTTAGTATAGTAAACCTTAAGAGAACATATTATGTATTTCAAACAAAACATTTATATGTCGCTTTAATTGATTATTTATGTAGTGACTCTATATATTTTAACAGTCTTCATATAGACTGTATTTTTCTGCCCAGGTAATGTTGTGCAATATGTTCTCCATTTTTATACCGATTTTAATCATTCTTCATAATAGCTAGTTCATTGGTTTAGTTCAACAAAACCAGTTATAATGGTTTCTACGATTGTCAATTCTTTAATTATTGAGCGATTATACTATTAATGACCTGTTGAGCCATTATATTACAATAATACATTGAGTGATAATTCATTAACTAATTATAACTTTAAATACATAGATATAAGCAGCATGTTAAGTATCCTACCGTGTCTCTATTGTTGTCATTGAAATTTATTACTGAATAAGTTTTTTAGCTGCCGGCGTTTCCGTTTTTAGCTCTTTACTAATTAAAGTCATTACTGTAGGTAATATAATTTTAATACGTATCTTTAATATTGTATACGCTTGACGAATCCTTGATCTGTGCGAAAGAATGTTGTTACCTCCCTGAGATTATTCTACCGGTACTCAGAAGATTGTAAACAAATATAGCAATAACACAAGATAGTGAATGGTAATGAACACAGAATATCTCACACAGCGCCATCTAGTCACATCATCCGCCATTGTCGTCATAAAAAAAATAATCAGAGCTTGTACTTTGTTTAGTTTCTTAATAATTGACAGCAGTACTTAATAGATATATATGTTTTGTACATAGATACTAAATAATATAAATAGAAAACATCCAGCCAATATCTTAATCCCCCCCGCGACCATCGAAAGGCACTGAAGTAGAATAATTGATCGTTTTCCAATATTATTTTTCTATTAATATTGATAAAATATTACTTTCTACGCTGTGCTGAATTATTACAGTTACGCAATTTGATATAATCCATATCATAATTATATTACGTGTAAAGGAAACTTACTTAAACATGATTGAAACATAAACATGATTACTTAAACAATATTGTCAAGTATTGGAAAGAACTCATTATAATTATTATTATAGCTTTTATTCATACAACTTATTCTGTTAACAGCTTTAATATAACAACTTACTTTATTTACCTTTAAGGAAATCATATTTAACAAATATGATTTATAGAAAATAAACCACAACTAGGTTTTACCTCGAGTAAAATGTTGTTGCGTTACAGAAGCTTTGACAGTTAATAAATATTG